TGCTGCACCTCCATTGTGCCTCTACCACGTTTGAGGGTTTGGGGGTCCTCTGTTCAAGCCAGCATCCAGGAGGCTTCTGCAACTGGAAAAAGTCCTGAGCTGGCAATAGCACACGTCACTTGTGTTCCCATCCCAGTGGGGGAAGCCAGCCACATGGCCACATGAAGGAAGCTGACAAGTGTGGTGACTTTGTACTGTAGAAGAGGAGACTTTGCTAGCAGCTGGCTGACTGCCATAGCCACAGACGAGTCAGAAGACTCTTGAGCCGCTAGTATTATTATCTGTAGAGCAGAAAACATCACTCGATAGTGGCAGTGGCTGCTTGGGTCTGTAAGTTTACCCAGGCCACTAAGGTGTTCATGGGTATATAAGTCACATGGCAAGTAAGCTGCTTCTGTACAACACAGGCAGCTCCTTGCCCTCTCCTCAAGGTGTTGCGAGGACTCAGGAAAAATTTGCCAAACTGGTGCCATTGTGTGTGTGTGTGTGTGTCTGTGTGTTTGTGCGTTTGGATGTCTCTGTGTGAGCGTGTTTGTATGTCTGTATGTGTGCATACATTTATGGCTTGTGTGTGTTTGTCTCTGCTTATGGTAAGGAATGAGAGTTCCAAAGCACTGTGCTGGGTGTAGCATCACAGGGTGGCGCCCAACCCAGGCTGCCTGCCAACAGGAAGTGGTAGGCGGTTCAGTCTTGCTTCTCACTTGGGAAACCCTCCCCCATTATGGTGGCCTTCCAGCATGTGGCGGAGCCAAGACTGCCATCCCAGCACACTAGGCTGCCCATCTCCGTCTCCTGGAGTATATACATATCAGATGGCCAGGACAGCAGCCCGCCTGGTGGCTGGGGAAAGCTCCAGATGAGTCTCAGGGCGAGTAGGGGACACACCCTGGAAGTGCACCACCCGAAGGGTCTCTTGGGGCAGCAGTCACCCAGAGTGTGGGTGGATGTCCTGCCAAGCAGGGAGGAAACAGAGGTCAGCAGAAACCTGCTTCCTGGTGCTGGCGGCTCAGAGGTATAGAGGCTATAGCTAAGTGCATTCGAGGGGACGTGTGTCAGCACCTGGAGGACAGTGTTAGCCTGATGTTAGGTGTGTCTTTATCTTCCCAGCCACTCAGGAGCTAGGCACGTCGTGCTGCACTCGGTCTCAAGTTGTCAGTGTACCAGGAGCCACGTGACATCACTGTGAGGAACGAACCGTGGCACCAGACAGCCAACAGGAACTGTTAGGATTATATGGGTATGCTTGGCTGAGACTCCACCCCGCTACTGCAGGATCTGGGTGTATTGTTCCCAACACTTGTCTTGGGAGAGAACTGATTTAAAGGATGGAATTTGGATCCAGTTCCAATGCTAGCTGTGTGACTGTGGGCAAGCCACTCCGTGGTTATGCATCTTTTCATCATACAGTAGCAGCACTGCACTATGGAGTTAGGACTAGCTGGGTCCTTACGACAGGCTTGCTGCAGTCGGTACAGATTGGTTAAGGTTTTTTGTTTGTTTGTTAGGTTGGTTGGTTTTGCTTTGTTGGGATTTTTGTTTTGTTTTGTTTTGTTTTGTTTTAATTTTCAACAGAGTTTCTCTGTGTAGCCCTGGCTGTCCTGGAACTCGGCTCTGTAGCCTGGGCTGGCCACAAACTCACAGAGATCCACCTGCCTCTGCCTCTTGAGTGCTGGGATTTAAGGCATGCCACCACTGCCCGGCATTTTGTTTTCTTTAACGTATGGATGTGTAAACTGAAGCCCAGGGCTGTCTATAGGTCACCCAACTGAAATGGCTCACAGTAGGATCAAGGCCATGACTGTTCTAGGCTCATGCCATCTCTGTTGCTCCCTCCTGTGTGTCTGTCATGTTTGGTGACTGGGTCAGAGGCGGTATGTACCTGAGGGATTAGCACCGCAGCAGGGAGAGGTGTGGATTCATACACTGCTTCTTGCCAACACCTTGTGGAGAACATGACGGTGGGAAAGAATGGCTGGGTATCCCCAGAACTTACCCAGTAGATTTAGGGAGTGATACAGAGAGGATGGATTGGTCTGGCCTCTGGCTTGTTGACAGGTGGGCACAGTTGAGACATTTTCCCTAACATGCCCAGCAGGGAACACACAGATAGAAGCTCTTCCAGGACCAGTATGCCAGGGCAGCAGAGGTTCATAGAGGAAAGGGACCCAAGGACTGTAGCACTATGGAGGTCAGGCAGGGAGACAGGAAGTGGAAAGTAAAGGTTGCTTAGGAACACTGGCCTGACTAGCAGCCTCTAAATTTTGCAGAGGCAGTGTGGGGTGGTGGTCGGAACTGGCTTGAGTGTCCAGGGACAGTTGTGAGGCCCACAAGGAGGCACCCTTGGGCCTGGGTATGGAAGGAATAAAACCTCTTGCAGCTGCCAGCGTCTCAGAGGACGCAGAAGCAGTGTAAGGGGACTGAACAGGGCTGATGCTCTAAGTGGGAGTTGCAACATGAGAGTACATAGGCCTACACATCAGGCTGTCTGTCTCCATCTCCAGGAGTGTGCACATGTCAGATGACCAGCCCAGCATCTCCCTGGGGAGCGGGGAAGGCTCCAGATTAAGGGGACTGTGTACTTACCAGAAACCCTTAGGAAAAACCACACACTGTCCTTGAATGGCTAGGGACAGTGGCCTGAGAACACCCTCAAAATTGGTGGTCCTTCCCTTTTGAGAGGAAGCCGACCATGGGTACTAACTTGTCCTCCTCAGATAGTTGGTGGACATTTGACAGAGCTCATGGTCCCAGAAGCCCTGAAGCTGAGGGAAACGCCCCTCCCCCTTCCCAGCTCCCTAGTATGGTCCAGTCATGGCTGTGACAGAATCCTAGCCTGGGACGTTGTGGACATTGGGGAAGCAGAACTGGTTCTTCCGCCATGTCTGGCGGGTTTATGCAAACATCACCATGCCACAGACTAGACTCTCAGGGTGATGCTGAGATGCTGTGGCATCTCAGCTAGAGTCAAAATAAAACTCAGCAAAATGCTGAAGCTGGGGGCGGGAGAACGGGGTCTATGAACAGAGCGCGTTCATGAATGGAGAGAGCAGGAGCCTGGGGAAGCAGAAGAAGTGGGAGGGGGGGGGCTCTCTCATCCCAGCCATTGCTGAGGATGGCACAGATGGAGCTCCGCCTATGTCTGGTGGGAGGCCAGGAAGTTCCCTCCTGATGTTCCTCCTCTCTGTGTGAAGTGGGAGGCTGGGTCGTGCCAGGAAGGAAGGGAAGGCAGGGGAAAGGGTCTGACCTGGAAGGGAGTGGCTGGCCAGAGCTTATGGGGTGCTCCCAGCACCCCCAGCTTCCTGCTCGGAATTGTAGTCCTTGTCCAAAAAGAGTGAACGCACAAATGAGCATGGGCTTATGGCCCTGACAGCCCTGAAGCCAAGGAGAAGCCGCACCATCCTTACCTATCACCTCACAGAGCCTGTCTGGGGCTGTGACTGGAGACTTGGCAAGGCACACACTTACAGAGTACTTGCTGTGCCCCAGGTGCTTCGTGCCTATTTAACCTTACAATGGCTCATGGGAAGTGGGCTCTGTTACTAAATCTTCTAGATGAGGAAACAGGTACAGATATAACCTGTCCAACTAGTAAGTGACATTTGGTCTCCGAACCCAGCCTGAGTGGCTTGGATGGAGCTCTTTGCTGTGTCCTTCAGGGAGCAGAGGACTCAGAATAGCTGTGATGTGGGTTGAGAGGCCCAAGGGGAGTGCATGAGAGGCAGCCGACGGCAGGCCTGAATGCTGACCTCCAGCCCAGCCGATACACTCATGTGCATGCACCCAGCCTGCCCAGCGCCCCTGGGAGAGGCTCTGCTCCTAGCACACATGCACCCCATAGCTAAGAAGGGAAGGTTCTGGACGGTTGCCTGGAAGATAAGGATTGAGATAGAGCAGGCTTAGAGGAACAAAAGGAAACTGTTGGAGTGACAGATATGCTCGTTATGTTGATTGCAATGATGGCTTCATGAATATTCATTTGTTCAAACTCATCAAATCGTGTTTTAAATATGTAGTTTATCATATACCAAGCAAACCTCAGTAAAACTGCGGAAAAATGGAGCAAATCATAATAAAGTGGGAAACAGAAATGAGGGCCCCAAGTTGGGTATTGGTTTCACCATCACAGTCAGTCTCCAGCCTCTGATTCCACCTCACGTGGTGCTCAGTACCCCCAACAGCAGCAGGGCCGTTCAAGGATGATAGTCTGTGTGGAAACATCCAGTAGCCACGAGGGGCATATCCATGAAGACCAGCCCAGCTGTGGGCATAATGGGGCGGAGGGAAAGCAGGATTGCTGTGGGATAGGCCCCAAGACCGTAGGTATCGTATGCACCAGAGGGCAATGTGTTACGACCGTGTGGCCACAGGAGCACTCTCCTGCCTGTGTGGGGCGAGATGGTGTGGCTGAGGTTTGGTATGGCAGAGGCTGCCATTAACTGACCCCAGTTCATGCTACTGAGCCCACCCTGCATCTGACTGTAAAATGCCATTTGTGTGTTTGCTGTGTTTGCCATCCATGTTTCTGACGCATAAACCCACGAGGGCAAAGGTTCTCATGCAGCCACACAGGGCTGGGGTCCCCAAAGGCTCTGATACACACCTGGCTAACAGGTGCCTCATCGTCACTGTGACTGAGGCTAGGACTGTGCTCAGTGACAGGTCACATGCTTAACATGTGTAAATTCTAGATTTGACCCCCTCCAGCACCGCCCACAACAGAAACCCAAAACTTGTGAATGGGAGCATATGTGTGGCTGCTGCTGTGTGACAAACCTGTGCTTGCTGGGCACTGTGTGGGTTAGAGCGTGTAGAGCGCGAGACGAATGGGTCTGTGACCTAACGAGGGACAGTGGTTATCTCCAGAAACTCCGGGAGTGGTGACAGGATTCACGATGCTTAGCTTTCCTGTGGCCCGGCTGGGAAGTTCCTAGGTGCTGGGGAAGCAGGAGGGAGATGAAGCAGGGGCTTGCTTGTCACTCACATGCCGTACCTCACAACAGGGAGAAGATGAACATGGGCTGCCCAGAGCCTGATCCGCTCCGCTCCCTGCCTTGCTGCGGGCCGGGGGCCGCCCCTGTACCAGGTGCCGGAGTGCCCCTCCTCACAGAAGACATGCAAGCACTGACGCTACGCACACTGACTGCCAGTGACGTTACCAAGCACTACGAGCTCGTCCGGGAGCTGGGCAAAGGGACCTATGGGAAGGTTGACCTGGTGGCTTACAAGGGCACAGGTGAGTGTGATTGATAATGTGGCAGGGTATTAAGGTTGGAGTGGGGACATGCCTGGATAGAGGGCCAGCAAGGCTGCAGAGCAGATAGTCATATGGAAAGGGATACACTGCACAGTAAGTAGGCGTTAGCAAAGGGCCCACACTGAGGGGCTAGGCTATTTGGGGGCCATCTGGGTGCCTTTGAGACAGATGTGCCCAGGGACAGGACACTGCTAGAAATTGTGATTGGAGAGCATTGGCGACACCTAGGGAACTGGACAGAGGTGAGGACAGGTCCTTGGGAACGGGACTCATTAGGTAGAAGCGTGGGAAAATGTTCCTATGGGTTGGTCTGGACACGTTTCTCCGATAAAGACACATGTCCTGATGTTCAGCCAGCCAACCAAGGCCATGGAGCTACTGTGTGTTTGAGCTGGGATGGCACTCTACTTTCCAGGGCAGGAGGAGCCTGTGGGACAGCTATGGGAGCAGGAAAACACTTGTATGGGGGCACGTTATTGCTTTCTGTGTGACCCTGGGCAATGCAACCCGGTTCCTCTATTTAGGAAAGAAGGGAACCGATGCTGACCTTATTGGGTCATTGGTAGTGTGGAAGGTGAACGTGAAGTGTTGATGGCAGGGCCTATGATGTGTAGCATTCTGTTGCTTTTGCATAGCTGCACGCCCAGCAGGCTGCACGTGCATGCCCAGTTTGGGGAACCAGTGTCCTACAGGGGCTTCTCTTACGCACCCATTGGCTAATATTTGCTGAGTACCTGTTGTGTGGCAAATTCTGGAGACACCAGTACAAGGCAGGTTTCTGTGCCTCAGGGAGCCAAGGTTATTAGCTGGGGAGACAAATATGACAGATGAGTAGACAGTAGGTCAGGAAAATGGCTTGGGGCAGGAGGCAATAAGTGTTCCTGGCTGCAACGTAGACGACTCAGGTCAGCCTTATCTGCTGGGTGGACCTAGGTGTTAACTGTGCCGCGAGGACATCATGCTGACCAGGTCCACTAGCCGAATTGCGGGGACAGATTGTACAGCTAGATGTGGGGGTTTATCTGTGAGGGAGAGGGTCTCACTGTCGTTGCTGTGGCCCTGCCAGGCACCAAAATGGCCCTGAAATTTGTGAATAAGAGCAAGACAAAGCTGAAGAACTTCCTGCGTGAAGTGAGCATCACCAACAGCCTGTCATCCAGCCCCTTCATCATCAAGGTCTTTGACGTGGTCTTCGAGACTGAGGAATGCTATGTCTTTGCCCAGGAGTACGCGCCTGCTGGGGACCTGTTTGACATCATCCCTCCCCAGGTAATTTCAGTTAGTGTCGGAGAGAGGAGAGATGGCCTTTGGGGCTGCTAGAGTATGAAATCCTGGAAGGAGTTGGACTGGTTGATGAACCAGAAAGCAGGATGTGGTAGCGCATGCCTGTAATCCCAACTGAGGCCCCAGAGAAGGTAACCCTGGAGCAAGTGGAGGGGGTTCTGGTACTTGGTTTGGAGCTTTCCACTTGTTAAGGGTTGGGGTCAAGACACCTAGCAAAGGAACAGGAGGGGTATCCTGCCAGGCTGGGAGGAGGACAAGCAAATAGGTATCAGGATCAAGGCAGGCCCAGAGTTGTGGCCCCCAAGGTGACAGGACCTAAAAGAAGGAACTGGGGTGAGGGCAGGCGTACCTGGCTACCCCTGAGCAGCTCTTCCTGTCCCCCGCAGGTGGGGCTCCCCGAGGACACGGTGAAGCGCTGTGTGCAGCAGCTGGGGCTGGCGCTGGACTTCATGCACAGCAGACAGCTAGTGCACCGCGACATCAAACCCGAGAACGTGCTGCTGTTTGACCGTGAGTGCCGCCGTGTGAAGCTGGCGGACTTCGGCATGACGCGGCGCGTGGGCTGCCGTGTGAAGCGTGTGAGCGGCACTATACCCTACACAGCGCCCGAGGTGTGCCAGGCGGGCCGTGCCGATGGCTTCGCAGTGGACACAGGCGTAGATGTGTGGGCGTTCGGAGTGCTTATCTTCTGCGTGCTCACCGGCAACTTCCCGTGGGAGGCTGCGTCGGGCGCCGATGCCTTCTTCGAGGAGTTCGTGCGCTGGCAGCGGGGCCGCCTGCCGGGGCTGCCTTCGCAGTGGCGCCGCTTCACCGAGCCCGCACTGCGCATGTTCCAGCGGCTGCTGGCTCTGGAGCCCGAGCGTCGCGGGCCCGCCAAGGAGGTATTCCGCTTCCTCAAACACGAGCTCACATCTGAGCTTCGGAGGCGGCCTTCGCACCGTGCACGCAAACCTCCTGGGGACCGCCTGCCTGGGCCCCTGCGCCTCGAGGCTCCTGCACCGCTCAAGCGCACAGTGCTCACCGAGAGTGGCAGCGGTTCACGGTCCTCGCCGCCCAGCGTGGTGCCCGTTCCGGTGCCCGTGCCCGTGCCCGTGCCCGAGGCTGGTCTGGCTCCGTCCGCTCCCCCAGGCAGGACCGACGGCCGTGCGGACAAGAGCAAAGGGCAGGTGGTGCTGGCCACGGCCATCGAGATCTGCGTCTGAGCTGCTAGGAGCAGCGCAGCCGCTGCGGGGGAAGCAGCGTATGCTCCAACCCGTACTGGGGACAGGGAGCAGCCACAGCGCGGTGGGAGGGAGTAGTGTAGACTAGGAGGCCCAGACACCCGGGTCGGTGGTGGGCTGGTGACATAGCTAGCGGATGACCATGTGTGTGGCCGGCCTCAGCCCAGAGGAGCCGAGGCCCCTGACAAAGGCTGGGAGCTTGTGGGCCAGACTGAGCTCTGGAACCTGGACACTCCTGGCGCTTCACACCCCTTGGCAGATCACCCTACAATCTTCCATCCAAACCTGGGCACAGAAAGGGGCCTTTGGTGTTGGGCAGAGATGAGCACGAGACCCTTAGAAACTGGCTGGGAACAGGCACTGGGTTAACAACAGTGGTGCCCAGGCGGTCAGAGGGAGAGGCCAAGCCCCCTAAATGTAGCAAAAGTTGTGTGCAGGAACGGACCCGAATACTAGAGATGCCCCCTCACCTCTTCCTGCTGATGGGTACTTACATCCCAGGAGGGAGAGCCATTACTGCAGCCACAAGGCCATTGGGAACAGAGTTCCAGTAGGTACCCCTCCCGAGAGTATAGGGGAACAGATGGCAGGAGAACGGAGGCTTGGCACTCCTGTGTCTCTAGGGTAAGGGGTGCGTTCACAGCCCAGCTGCTCCTTCCCTGGGCACTCAGCAAGCAGGGAAACAGTTGCGCCAGTTATTCCTGGGGTTTGTCAATCACGTGTGCGAGCCTCACGGTTCTAGGGCAGTACCCTTGCAGGGGAGGAGCGCATCCGTGGATGGGACAGGAAGTCGTTGAAGTCAGAGTGAGTGTGATGTGTGTCTGGTGACTCTGAGGGTCTGGACACCTCACCAGGCAGCTGCCAAGAGCCAGGCCTGTGTTTTACCACACTCCTCAGGGAATCCCAGGAGACACCTGCTGTTGGCTCAGGTTCTTCAGCAGCAAAACAGGATCTCACCTTGCCCCTGCTCTCCTTTGGGACTCCTCAATGTGGAGGCTTAAGGAACCCCTGCAATAACCTCAGCCCAGGGAGGCTGTACCTTCTGCCTGGCACCACCCAACTGACCAGCCTGGGTTGCCTCTCCTAGGGTCCCTCCAAAAGTTCTGGGTCATTCTAGGAGGTTCCATAGTGGGGCTGGCTGGCTAGCTGCAAGGGGCACCAACCACCCCTCAGCCTGAAGCCCCCACCTCTCTACACAACCCCTTGCTCCCACCACAAAGGGCTATAGGTCTCCCTGCCCTGCCTGAGTCCAGTTTACAAACTGTGGTTGCTCCAGGGCCTGGTCCCACTTTTCCTGGGGTGCCACCACTTCCCTAGTGGACACAGGGCCCACATGCCAGGTAAGTAGCAAACCCCTCCTCCTGCCAAGAGCCGAATCTCAGAAGGCCCCCATCACTGCCCTGGCCCACTTGGGGCCACTAGGCCCTCCTTCCCAGCCGCTACTTCTCCTCTTGCCTTAGGCCTCTCCATCCTGATCTGCAATAACAAGGAAGCGAGATTCCACAGTAGACATCCCGTGTCCCATGTGCGCCCTCTCTCTGTTGAGATCCTGTGTGGGAGGCCTCTCCCTTGTAGTATCTCCCTTGTAGTATCTGGTAGTCCTCAGAAGAGACTTTAGGTACGTAGCCCAGCCCCATCCTTCAGAGGCAGCAACCAGCCTGACCCTGAACCGGACTCAGGCTGGGTCAGGCTCCACTCCTGCTGCCACCACTGGTACTGTCTCTGTCTGTTGGGTTGGGACCCTTTGCCCCTTAGGAGAGGTGTTGGTTACAGATGTTTACCTCAGTTTGTCACTGTTGAAGAAACAAAATAATAATAATAATAGCAAAAAATTAACATTGTAGACATGGAGACTTAGAAGACAAAACCCACAGGAGAAACCTCCCCCTTTGCAGTTTTTCTGTGAAGGTATAGTTTGTTCATGTACGCACACGTATGTGTGTGTCTCTGTCTCACCCCAGGGCAGGCCAGATCACCTATTGACACCTGTCCCAGCCTGTGTGTCCCTCACACTGCCCCTGTCCTTTGGTGCTTCCCAGGGGCCCCTTGAACTGGCTTGTGGGGTGTAGGGGAGCTTCCTGGATAGGAAGTGGGGCCTTCAGTTAGCTAGAGGTCTCCCACCAGATCCTGTGAGTAGAGGGCCCCAGGCTGTGTGATGCTCCCTGAGCCCACAGCACAGTGCTGGTGGTTGGCATCTGTCCAAGTCTGGGGCAGGGCCTGGGTTGAACCCAAGCCCTTGAGCCTCGCGCTCCTGTCTTGCCTCCCCTACCCCATGTCTTTGTAAATACTCTGGCATCCTTTGGCCCTGAGGAGGTTTTTAAATGTGTTATTTACTTCTCTAACTATGACAATTGCTATAAAATAAAAATTTAGAAAAATGATTGTTTCAGCTGCAGGTTGGGAGGGGTACGCAGGTCTTCCTGCCGCGGCTTACTGGCAGGCTCCGAGGTAGCGTCTGCAGTGGCCAGACCATGAAGGGGGAGCATGCACATGGACTTTCTGGGGGAGGGGCAGAGAATGGTCCTGGCTTGGACTTCAGCTTCAGCTTAGACTCCTTCAGCCTGGGCCAAAATGAAAGTTTATGGTCACCACTCTTGACAGTATTTAGCGTGCACTTTCGGTACAAAAGTGAGTTGTACAAACAGCACAGCACTCAGCAGTGACTGTCTAATGATGGAAGCTTGTCGCTTCCAGAAGGCCAGGTTTGGAGATGGCAGGGAAAGCTCTGGAAAGACAAGCCAGAAAAGTCTAAGTTAACTGGGCAAGGGCACAGTGGGGCACTAGTGGTCTCGGAGCCAAGTAAACGTTGTGATGATTCAGAGGGGGGCTGTAGGGAAGTACGCGGGTAACATTTATCAATTACCTACTAAGTCAGCAGAGCATTGAGTCTGCCCCTCCACGCCCAATCCTATCAAGAATTGAGCACCTAACATACCCTCCACACCCACCTTTCCATGCAGCACCCCTTCCCTTTCAACAGCTCTGCTAGTCTCCCAGCAACTCTGGGGTACCCTCGGGTTCTCGCACCTGGAACCCTCTTTCCTACTAAAAGATCCATTGCTTTGTTAAGTCCTAAGTAGCACCCCGGGTCAAAGCTGAGGTCCCTGGAGTGGGCTTCCAGCCTCCTCCCCCTAACTCTACTGGTACTGCTTGCTCTTCCAGGGACACCCAGCATGCTCACACACTAGGACTTTTAACTTCCCTCTGATCTCCCAGACCTCCCCAGGCCCTTCCTGCCTTCCCTTCTTCAGACCCTTGCTGGGACCCGAAGAAAAGTCTCCATCAAGCAGAAGGACAGTGCTTCCTTGCAACCAGCACACTGCTTCTCATCCCTGTCTCCTGGCTGGACTGTAAATTCCATAGAGTGGAGACAGGAGAGGGCAAGCTGCTACTTCTCACACTGTCTCTTCCGTGTCCTACAGGGCACATTAAGAAAACCACGTCACAGTTTGTCAAATTCATGAACGAACATCCAAGACTATTTTAGGGGTTGAGGACCGACAAATATGCAAGACAACAATACCTAGCTCATCCTTTGAAGTTCAATTTCTAAAACAAAATATTTGACAGGTTACGTAATTGTTTATGAACTGGGAGAGGGGAGAGGAAAAAAAAACCCACTCCGAGCAGATCAGAGGTGAGGACTCTTACCCGACATTAAATAAAACAGTTATTTCAGAGTGCCTGTCCCTTCTCTGAAATGGAGGGCGGAGGAAAGTCTGCAAATGCAAACAGCAGGCTGACACAGCTTGGTTTACCACCTCCCGGGTCGTCGGAGGAGAATGTCAATATTTACCACCAGGGGGCGTGAACCTCCTGCTGTGAAATCTGACACTTGCAGCCTCTGGAGATAAAAACCATTGTCTGCCATGGGTGCCAATGTTTAGTCATAAAGAATCCAGCATCACTACTTGCTACCAAAGGATCCGGCTGTCCCCACACAGCCCCTGAGATGTTCACTTTGGGGTCTTAGTGTCCCTTCCTGTCCAGATTCTAGACTACCTCGGTATCCAAAGTTCTGATTGGACCAATGAGATGACTCACATGGTGAGAGTACCTTACCACCATGAGGTGGATCCCCGGGACACACATGGTAGAGGAGAGATCTGGGTCCTGTAAGCTGTCTTTTGTTTTGTTTGTTTGGATTGGTTTGGGTTTTTTGTTTATATTTTGGTTTGGTTTTGGTTTTTGAAGACAGGGTTTCTCTGTGTATCCTCCGCTGTCCTGGAAGTGGCTCTGTAGACCAGGCTGGCCTTGAACTCACGGAGATCCACCTACCTCTGTCTCCCGAGTGCTGGGCTTAAAGGTGTGCGCCACCATACCACATGTGAGTTGTCTTTTGATCTCCATATTACCCCTGTAGTCCACATGTGTCCCCACTCCAATAAATAAATATAGTTTAGGTTTTTTTTTAAAGTTCCAGTTGACATTGAACTTCAGAAGTAAGTTCCTTTTTTGCACAAAATGCTTCCTGAGTCCTATGTAAAGTTTCCCAACTCCTTGCCTGTCCCTGATATCAACACAAAGGATATTGGAAGGAGCAGTTTCAGAAGCAAGCTTGAAGGTCCTGTATGCCATCTAGTGGTGATTCCTGGCATTCTGACACAGGAAAAAGCCAAACAGGCTGACAAGGAAGAAACACTCTACCTCAGTGGTCCTCAACTTTCCTAATGCCGCGACCCTTTAATACGGTTCCTAGTGTAGTGGTGATCCCTGATCATGAAATTATTTCTGCTGCTACATCATAACTGCAATTATCTACTGTTATGAATCATAATGTACATATCAGTGTTTTCCAATGGCCGTAGGTGACCCTTGTGAAAGGTCATTCGACCCACAGGTTGAGAGACACTGTCCTATCCTAAAGCCAGGAAGAGTGAAATGACATCAGAAATCATACAGGCCTAGAGAGATGGCAGCGGGCAAGAGAGCATCCTGCTCTTCCAGAGCGTGCCTGTGTGCGTGCGTGTCTGTGTGTCTGCGCACGCACATGCATGCACACACACATGAAAACAGGTCTCTTTTAAAAAGTGTGGAGAAGCAGAAGGATAACCAAGTGGAAGGAAGCAGGCACACACTAGCAAGCTGTGTGGACACCCTCGCAGGGAAGGAAAAGAGAAATCTCACCAGGAAGGTAAAGCAGGCCCACAGTGGGAGCAGGGCAGTGGAGTCCAGCAGTCCCACTCCACTCGGCCTATGGGACAGAGAATTTCAGGAGAGTCAGAGTGACGTGAGGTTAGCACGGAAGGAGAGATGAGGGATAGTACACACCTCAGATGGGAGAGAGAGAGAGAGAGAGAGAGAGAGAGAGAGAGAGAGAGAGAGAGCTGCCCTTAGGCATATGATTCTTATTTACTTCCTTCTTTACTTACGTACTCCTCCTCTTTCTCCTCCTCCAAGATAAGATTTTTACTGGCTTTCTTTAGCTGGCCAGGGACTCACTGTGAGGAAGAAGGCTCAGCAAATCAAGGCACTTGTCCCCAATCACGATGAGCTGAGTCCAATCCCCAGAACCCATAGGGTGGAAGGGAGAACCAACTTCTACAAGCTGTGCTCTGACTTCTATGTACATGCCCGGTATATAGGTAAATGTAGCTTTTAAAAAAGGTATTTCCTAATTCAAGCAGTTCTGGTGCTGAGTATTCCCCCATTGAGTTTATAAGCCAGTTTCCAAAACCCACAAGGAAGAATGAGTATGTAGCGATGTTCATACAACATGAACAGACGCTATTTCATAAGCACGTACTGCCCACGAGCCCGTGTAGTATATATGAACTGACGGACGAGACGTTCATCAGATCAGATACAGGTGAGTGAGAGCGTGGCATCGCTTCCCGTTCCATTAGGGAAGTTTATGCCTAACACATCTTTCAACTCGGATGAACATAAGCTGTATGTATGTATGTGTGTATGTATGTATGTATGTATGTATGTATGTATTTGTTTGTTTTGAGACAGTTTTTCTGTATAACAGCCCTGGTTGTCCTGGAACTTGTTCTGTAGACCAGACTGGCCTCGAACTCACAGAGATCCGCCTGCCTCTGCCTCCCGAGAGCTGGGATTAAAGGTGCGTGCCACTCACCTGCCATAAGCAGTTTTGTAAGCACATGTTCGCTGTTGCTCAGGGTAGTCACATGCACTTGGGGCAAGTTGGTGAGAGCACTTCCAACATGCCTGTGGGACCAGTCGTGAGACTGGCACCTTCTCCAGCCCCGTTAAAGAAGTTGGCATATGTCCTGACTAGTTTTATACCAACTTGACACAAGCTAGAGTCATCTTAAGGAGGAGACCTCAATTCAGAAAATGCCGTCATAAGAACCAGATGTAAAGCATTTTCTTAATTAGTGATTGATGAGGGAGGGCCTAGCCATGGTTGGTGGTGCCGTCCCTGGACTGTTGATTCTGGGTTCTATGAGAAAGCAGGCTGAGCTGGGCGGTGGTGGCGCACGCCTTTAATCCCAGCACTTGGGAGACAGAGGCAGGTGGACCTCTGAATTCAAAGTCAGCCTGGTCTACAGTGCAAGTACCAGGACAGCCAGGGATATGCAGAGAAACCCTCTCTCAAAAACCAAAGAGGAAAGGAAGGAAGGAAGGAAGGAAGGAAGGAAGGAAGGAAGGAAGGAAGGAAGGAAGGAAGGAAGGAAGGAAGGCAGGCAGAGAGAAAGCAAGCAGGGTGAGCAAAACCATGAGAGCAAGTCAGTAGTCAGCACCCTCCATGGCTTCTGCATCAGCTCCTGCCTCCTGGTCTTGTCCTGCTTGAGTTCCTGTCCTGACTTCCTCTGATCATGAACTGCAATGTGGAAGTGTAAGGCAAATAAACCTTTTCTCCCTAAGTTGCTCAAGATCACGGAGTTTTATCACAGCTATAGGAACCCCAACTAAGACAACAGCATATAGTAGATCTTTCATTTGCCATTTGCTTTAAAAGTGTATTGCTCCCCTCTCAGGATGGACTGATCTACTTTTTTGAGCAACCTGCTTCTTACAGCAAAGATCATAGAGAATGGCATAAATTCAATGGATTCTAACATTCCACAAAAGAGGCTGTATTTAATACATTTTTTAAAAGATGTATTGATTTTTATTTTATGCGTGTGAGTGTTCTACCTGCATATACTTACATGTATCACATGTGTGCCTAGTGCCCACAGAGGCCAGAAGAAAACATCAGATCCCCTGAAACTGGAATTATGGATGGTTGTGAGCCAGCATGTGGGTGTTGAGAACTAAACCAGGGTCTTCTCTAAGAGCAATAAGTATTCTTAACCATGAAACCATCGATCCAGCTGTCTGATTCACTGTAAGCGCTCAAGCAGACTGTTTTGTAAGTACATATTCGCAGTTACTCAGTGGAGGTCTCTGCACTATGGGAGAAGTTGCTTCTAGACTGTGTCTAAAAGCATAAGCGATGGACGAGAACGAAGCACATTCTGCCACTCTGATAGAGTGCGTCTTTGAGGCGTGGAAGTATCTGTGCTTACTTACCAGGCCAAGGTTACCTGATACGACCAGCCAAGGAATTAAACCAGGCCCAGGGTGGAGGGCCACAGCAAGACCTAGACTGTGACAGTTTTATTGAGAACAATCAGACTTTTTTTCTCTTTATCAGAAACAGAGTATAGTAGTAGCAATTGTCAGGATCGATACAGTTGTTGTTGCCAGGATACAATGACATTTGTAAGCTATATAGGGTCCACAGGATTAACCTCTAAGACCAACTGTCCTGTTGAGCGTTCATGCTTCCTTGACTTCTAAGGGAACATGCAGAGAAACAAAAAGCAGCCTGAATGTTTCACTGCCTGAGGGAGTGTATTGATCTCCCAGGAACCGAAAGGCACACAATGTCCCAGGAGCCACAGACTGTAACCTGCAAAGCCTATGTCACATGACTCTCAAGGCAGCGAGGCCAGGCCAACGCGTGGTTCCCTGCCGAGGTGATTTCCGTGTGACGCAGATTCTAACTCGTAAGCAAACATTCTTTATTGCTCAATGTCAGCCTGTGTGTGCATAGGGGAAACTTCTCGGCGCGTTCTGGAATGCATCTCTGTGGTGGATTAGAGTGCACATTCCCCTTTCTGTGAGCAAGGCTGTTCTGTGACTGTTTCTCATGGCACGGACAGCTCCGTCTTCAGGCACGCATTTCTTGTTGCTCAATGCGGCCTTTGTGCAGTTTGGGCTCAGATAATTTTCAGAGCGCAGCTAGCAGGATGGGCAATTATGTGGCACATTTTCCATTGCACGAGAGGACTTTCTGATTATACATCTCTTATCTAGCACAAACACATTCTGTTTAGTAAGTCCATACTCCCTCTTCAGTGGGGGCCTGTAGTCATTACTGGGTAAAAAGTTTCTGTCGTTTCTTAAACGCATTCACATATATGGGTATGAATGCGGTACATTCTCAAGTTCCATAATAGAAGTTGGTGCATCATGCAGTTCCCCTCTCTTATAAACAGATTGTTTTTTTTTATTTGTATTTATTTATTATATATACAATATTCTGTCTGTGTGTATGCCTGCAGGCCAGAAGAGGGCACCAGACCTCATTACAGATGGTTGTGAGCCACCATGTGGTTGCTGGGAATTGAACTCAGGACCTTTGGAAGAGCANAGGCCAGAAGAGGGCACCAGACCTCATTACAGATGGTTGTGAGCCACCATGTGGTTGCTGGGAATTGAACTCAGGACCTTTGGAAGAGCAGACAATGCTCTTAACCTCTAAGCCATCTCTCCAGCCCAAACAGATTGTTTTATAAGTGAGCATTTATGAGGGCCCCAAGTGGCCTCTGGACACGCCAAGGCAAGAAGTCTCACCGGAAAACATTTAACAATTATTAGCGTTTAACTTAGTATACAAAGCAATGAGTTTCATTGTGGCATTTCTTTTTTTAAAAAAAACTTTCAT